CAGCCATGGGATTACAAGGGGTTCAGAAGAACCGTGTGAGTGGTGCATTTAATTGGGCGAGGGATGGATTCCGTGGGGAAGCTACAACATCGAGCAGAGGACTGGCTTATCACACTGGAGGAGGATGCAAGCAGCTGCAGACAATAGTGGGGGTGCTCATGTTATGGCGGCAGGAAGGGGTGGAGATCGATGGGGGGGCGATCTCAATGGATAAGTGGCTGGAAGATAGGACCCAGAAGATGCTAGACATCATGTGCGAGCTGGAGGGGCTGGATCCCCGACTCGAGGTCTACATCGACTGGAGGCGGGCGGATGATAGGATGGGTGCTTGCAAAACCCTCTTTACACTGCGGCGCGATCTACGCAATCAGCTGGAGAATCGGTAGAGAATTGGCGAGATGGGTGAGATGGGCAATAACGGTGACAAGGACGACTGGTTGGAGGGAAGTTTGGAGGCTGGCAAAGATAATTGCGGCGACAACACCAACAATAGCACGAACAACAACAACAACAACAACAACAACAACAACAACAACAACAGCAACAACAACAACAACAACAACAACAACAACAACAGCAACAACCACAACAGCAACAACCACAACAACAACAACAACAACAACAACAACAACAACAACAACAACAACAACAACAACAACAACAACAACAACAACAACAACAACAACAACAACATCGATAACATCGACATTAAGGATATTGATAAAATTGGGCGCGACAGCAAAAACAGCAACAACAACAACAACATCAACAACATCAACAACATCAACAACATCAACAACATCAACAACATCAACAACAATGACGACGACTGTGGCAGCGACGACTACAAAAGAAGCAGGGCAAACAGCGGTGTCAGTGCAGCTGTGATCATCATCGACATGATGGGGGAGATACCGCAAGCGGACATAGTGGAGATTGGGGTCGGCATGAAAAAAAGGTGTGCTATCTCCCCTCCCCTCAATGATAGTGACGGCGACAATAACAACAACAACAACGACGACGACGACGACGACGACAACGGCGACGACGACGACGACGACGACGACGACAACAACAACAGCGACGACGAAGGCGGAGGCGACGACCATGGAAGCAGTGGGGTAGAAAGCGGTATCCGTGCATCTCAGATTTTCATCAGCGTGATGGGAATGATGCCGCAAGATGACGTGGTGGGGAGTGGAGTTGACACGGAGAAATGGTTTACTGTCTTTCCCCCCTCCGACTTCGATACGGAATTGCTTCTCGTCGTTTGGTAGAGGATAGGAGTAGGATAGTCGGTGGAGATTGGTGTTGCCCGGCCCACAATATCAATCATCAATGGGGTGCTTATCACCCCGTGGGTTGGAGGTGGGCTGTTTAGGGATTAGCTTGCAGGAGGTCAATCCTTCCCTTGTGCAGGGAAGTAATCAATGCCCCCTGACAGTTTCATACGCTAATGCATAATGGATTCTGGACTTGACGTCCACATCATTCATATCTCATCACTGATAGAGCTGCGTGTTTAGGCTTGATTGGTAGTGCTTAGGGTTTCGTGATTAGATTTTGATTGATACAAGATATATAGACAGTTTCAGACTGTAGGACATGGTTACACAGCTACACACGACTGTATAGGGATGCTGGACCCGATTTCCAGCTGACACAAATTATATCAATCAAATACACCATCACATCAAGGTTAGGGTTCCGTCTGAGAAGATAGGAATCGATGCCTCAGTTTGTTTTGGAGATGCTGTAGATCAGATGGATAGGGTTTCCCATAATCTGACATATATCGCTCACCGTGCATACATAGGTAGTTGGAGATATCAGTACATTTCTGCACAGGGACGCTGGACCCGTTTTCCAGCACATACATTCACACCATTGTACAGGGACACTCGACCCGATTTCCAGCAGATACATTTTCATCATTGTACAGGGACGCTGGACCCAATTTCCAGCAGGTGTAGCTCCCCACCAATAGATGGAGTCTTCGACGTCGAGGCCTACTTACCGGGGATGCTTTTATCACCTTGTTAAGTAGGTTACCCGTATACAAAGTAA